ATGAAAAATTACATCATTGTGCAAAAGGATGCTTGGATAATTTGCATCCAACTATTCAAAAGAATAATTCATCTTTTCGTGACTGCCAAATTTAGAAATGATTGTCACATGCTAGTCTAAATTTAGTAACGATATTAGCGGCCAATTTCATTGTGAACTAGAGGTTGGAACCGGTTTGGGTACAATTGAATTAAAACCGGTTGCAACCGGTTGCAATGTAAAACCGGTTCCTATTTTTCGTATTCGATAAACCGAATATAATAAAACTGGTTTATTTCGGGCAACCGAATTTAATAAAACCAGTTGAACCGGTTTTATTATTAAACTTTATGCAAAGAGACTGTACTAAATATAAAGCATTTATCAATTCTCCGTCACCATTTTCAAACAAAAACAATAACTAAAGTGTATGTATATCAAGGTTGAGTGACGAAAATATTTTGGAGTGTAAAAAGTATTTCATCAAATGGGGCACATATAACGAAACGTGATGAAAGTGACAAAACGTGACAAAACGTGACAAAACGTGATGAAACGTGACGAAAAGTGATGAAACGTGACGAAAAGTGACAAAGGGTAAAGTCGAAAGTATGATAAAAGATGACAAAAATAAATTCAATTTTATTTAGGTTTAATTAAAACAAAAAAGTTAATTTTAATCATTTTTTTATGCAAAGTTTTAGTAGAAATTGCTGCTTCACATATATTACTGGTTTCATAAATTTCTTCAAAATCTGTAGAATCATCTGATAATTCTGATTGTTGAAATTTACTCACTAAAGAAATAAAAAAAAATAGTGGTAAATATAAAATAAAAGAAAATTAATTATACATGGGATTAGTATGAATTCATTGCCAGAGATAACTTTTCCAAATTCCCTGTGATCCTTAAATCACTATTTCACAATATGTAAATGTGAATGTGCATATGTACATATGTATAAAACATTCACTGCTACCAAATTGTAAAGAGTCACTTGTCAAAACAAATTGAACACTCTTACAAACAGACAAGCTGTCTTTCATTATTTAAAAATAATTTTGTACAAATAATTTTATTTTAACATAATTAGTAATATAAACTAATTTGTTCTGCAATAATGTTTAGAGTTATTTCTTTATTTGTACATTAATGTACTCGTGATAATGTAAATATTTGTATATTAATTGTTGCACTTGTGAATAAAGTTATTTATAAGAAAAATTTTTTTTCTCTTTGAAAAAAAAAAAAAATAATGGATGACATAGAAGACATTCCCTTATCTCCTCCTCCTTTTGAATATGAACCTACTTCTTCAATTGAAATCATTTCTGAAACAGAAACAGTTACAACCAACAGTTCTAACAGTTTAAATAGAAAAAAACGAAATAGTATTAATATCATTAATTCCCACAACAATCAAAGCACCACCAAATCCCGAAACAATCAAAGCCATACATCCTATTTTTTTCGCACTGATCCAATTAATACTTCCATCACCTATTGCAAAATATGTGAAATTAATTTAGCTGGTGCAAGCATTTTCCTGGATTCATGGTTTTAAGTAATCATGATACTCCACTTTGGGTTGAAATTGGAGATGGGCGTATCATTGCTTTAGATGTATCCCCTCAATGTAAAGGCAATAATGAATATTTTAAACAACTTTCTAAAATACTTAGACATACTGACACACCAGGCTCTTTTATGTTGTATTTACTCAGTCTTGATCTTTCGGATGATTGGAATCCTCAGCACAATATTCCTAAGACTAAAATGAAGATGGAAATGATGCAAGACCAATTACCCAACCCTACTCAATTTATAATTGATCATATTTCACCATGGTCTGAGGATCGAGTTGAGATACAAAGTCGTATGATATTATATCAAGAGTATCAGGCATGGTGTGAAGCTAATGGTGAGAAACCATTTAGTAATAATGTATTAGGTAAAAAATTTACAAAGATTAACATCGAAAACAAACAAGTACGAATAAATGGAATAATAGTACGTCAATACATCCTAGATCGTTCCAAAATAGTAGCTAAGTTATGTGAATCTATTGGTGAGATTGAAGAATTTTCCAATATTTCACAGGATAGCTTGCCTACCAAAAGTTCTATGGAAGAAATCCCAGTATTTAACGTTCCTGAAATGAAGAAAGAAGAAAACAAACCGGAAAAAGCAATACCGACTCAACCAGAAGATTTAGTCGCTTCAACGCCTAGAAATTCCAAGATTATTACTCCCAAGGTTATAAATTCTTCTGAGATTATTGAAATCCCTTCCCCTGTTAGCGATAAATTGGAAATATCCCACTTCACCAGAAAATAACGGAGCTAACATGACTAAATTACCTGAAAGCGATAAATCCGAATCTAATAATGAAGAAGATATGTCAAAACCAATCCCATCATCTTCTGAATACTTGACCCAGGAACAGCGAGAAAAACATCTCCGAAAATGGGCGATCAATCATAATGAAGATCCAGATCATTTTTTGAGAGAATGGTTTCTGAACTAGAGGTTGGAACCGGTTTGGGTACAATCGAATTAAAACCGGTTGCAACTGGTTGCAACGTAAAACTGGTTCCTATTTTTCGTATTCGATAAACCGAATATAATAAAACCGGTTTATTTCGGGCAACCGAATTTAATAAAACCAGTTGAACCGGTTTTATTATTAAACTTTATGTAAAGAGACTGTACTAAATATAAAGCATTTATCAATTCTCTGTCACCATTTTCAAACAAAAACAATAACTAAAGTGTATGTATATCAAGGTTGAGTGACGAAAATATTTTGGAGTGTAAAAAGTATTTCATCAAATGGGGCACATATAACGAAACGTGATGAAAGTGACAAAACGTGACAAAACGTGACAAAACGTGATGAAACGTGACGAAAAGTGATGAAACGTGACGAAAAGTGACAAAGGGTAAAGTCGAAAGTATGATAAAAGATGACAAAAATAAATTCAATTTTATTTAGGTTTAATTAAAACAAAAAAGTTAATTTTAATCATTTTTTTATGCAAAGTTTTAGTAGAAATTGCTGCTTCACATATATTACTGGTTTCATAAATTTCTTCAAAATCTGTAGAATCATCTGATAATTCTGATTGTTGAAATTTACTCACTAAAGAAATAAAAAAAAATAGTGGTAAATATAAAATAAAAGAAAATTAATTATACATGGGATTAGTATGAATTCATTGCCAGAGATAACTTTTCCAAATTCCCTGTGATCCTTAAATCACTATTTCACAATATGTAAATGTGAATGTGCATATGTACATATGTATAAAACATTCACTGCTACCAAATTGTAAAGAGTCACTTGTCAAAACAAATTGAACACTCTTACAAACAGACAAGCTGTCTTTCATTATTTAAAAATAATTTTGTACAAATAATTTTATTTTAACATAATTAGTAATATAAACTAATTTGTTCTGCAATAATGTTTAGAGTTATTTCTTTATTTGTACATTAATGTACTCGTGATAATGTAAATATTTGTATATTAATTGTTGCACTTGTGAATAAAGTTATTTATAAGAAAAATTTTTTTTCTCTTTGAAAAAAAAAAAAAATAATGGATGACATAGAAGACATTCCCTTATCTCCTCCTCCTTTTGAATATGAACCTACTTCTTCAATTGAAATCATTTCTGAAACAGAAACAGTTACAACCAACAGTTCTAACAGTTTAAATAGAAAAAAACGAAATAGTATTAATATCATTAATTCCCACAACAATCAAAGCACCACCAAATCCCGAAACAATCAAAGCCATACATCCTATTTTTTTCGCACTGATCCAATTAATACTTCCATCACCTATTGCAAAATATGTGAAATTAATTTAGCTGGTGCATGTCAAAAACCTTATGCATACAGCCGAAAAGGTGGAAACACAACAAATCTTATTGTCCATTTGCGTGATAAACACAAAATCACAAAAGAAAATTATTTTCAGTTTTTAGATAATTCTAATCAGGTAATTGCTTTCTGCTGCAGGTGTTTATCCATATCCTCATTCTTTTTATCCTTCTAAAATAGTTTAATTAATATTTAATAGCCCCGACGTGATCAAACTCAAATTATAGGATATTTAAAAGCAGCAGCTCCATGCTCACCAAAACGACAGGAACTTATTACACAAAAGCTTGTAACCTTTATCATCAAATTCATTCAACCACTATATATTTTACAAAATCAATACTTTCGTGAATTACTCCTTATCTGTGAGCCGGGTTATAGAATTCCATGTGACAAAACAGTAAAAGCAATAATCAATGATTCATTTGTATGCTGTAAGGAACAACTTTGTTCACTTTTAAATAATAATAATGTTATTGCTGTTCATTTGACTACTGATTTATGGACTGCAAGGTCTCGTCATGGATATCTTGGTGTAACAGCCACATGGTTAACATCTAATTTTGAATTCTGTGAGGCACTTTTGTCATGTAATCACATTCCATATCCACACTCAGGAGAGACTATCAGTGCTGCATTATTTCAAATTATAAATGAGTGGCATTTATCAAACACAGCATTTACCATTGCAACTGATAATGGTTCTAATATGATAAAGGGTGTTCGACTATTAGGTGAGAAATACTTATCACAAATAAAACGGCAACCTTGTGCTGCTCACACATTACAACTTTCAGTTCTACAAGGTCTGAAGCAGTGTAAATCAATACATTGTCGAGTAAAGTGTTTACAGGCATTTTTTCGTTTACCAAAACAAGCTCAGAGACTTCGGGAAGCCCAACAAAGCAATCAGCAATTACTGGAGGAAAATGATTATAGTAACCCTCTTGATGTTTTAACTGATGTTAAAACAAGATGGAATTCGACATACTATGCATGGAAGAGAATATTAGAATTACACAATTCAATGTGACTCATTTCTACCACATTGTTGACAAAACCAGATCGAGCATCACAGAAAGAAGGAGAGAAATTAGAACGACTATGTTTATCTCTTGATGAAAAACAGTAAGTTTAAAAAAATAATTTATAGTTTTATATAGTGCTATCATTTAATATATATTATTTTTTTTTGAAAAGATTTATTCAAGATATGGTAAACCTTTTATCACCATTTGAAAAAGTAACTCGCCGATTTTGTGGAGCTAAATATGTTACTTTAAGTCTTGTTAACCCTTATATGGAATTGTTGAAAAAGACATTTGCACCTAAGTCTGAAAATGGAGAAAGTCTTGATACATACCTTGATCTCATTTATGGGCCACAAACTGAAGATAATAATGACAATGAAGAAGAATCTGACAGTTCAACCAGTGATGATGATGAAATCCCATCTGGTGGTTCACGACAACATTGGCAATATTCCCATTGTCAATTTCAACAAAGGATGCGAATTACTAGAGGGAGAGGAAGGGGGAGGGGAAGGGGGAAGGGAAGAGGAAGAGGTCATGGTATAGGAACTAGAGGTGCAATAGATGACATAGATGATATTAATCATGTTGAATATTTACCAGCTGTTAATACTACTGGCCTTCTTCAAAAAGTTCAAGCAGCTATTTTTTTATCATTAGATGAATTATGGTCAGTTCCAACAGAATTAGTTCAAATTGCAACAGTACTTGATCCCCGATTCAAAAATTTCCAATGGGATAGAAGTGGTGAGGAAAGAGACAAATCACATCAATTATTACGGGAATTATATGATTTTACAAAAGTGGATTTTGAATCTAATAATATTCAACAAACAACAACTATTCACAATTTACATACAACTAATGAAGATGACAATGATGATTTTTTTGAAACCTTGGAAATTGATCTAAGTTCATTTGAAGTTGAGAATGATGATGATGAAGTATTGAGTTATGTGAAACTTCGGCAGATTGATATTATGGAGGATCCTTTAAAATGGTGGGATGCAAATAAAGGCAATTTTCCAATTCTATCTCAACTTGCTCAAAAATATTTATCAATTCCTGCAACCTCTGTACCTAGCGAGAGGTTGTTTTCAGATGCTGGCAACCATATTTCTGCAAAACGTACTCAATTATCTCCAGATTTGGTCAATCAAATTTTATTTTTAAAAAGAAATAGTGAACATTTCAATTTATTTCCACCCAAAAATCTTTAATTTTTGTTTTAATAATAAAAAAATTTTGAATTGATTAATCACATGTAAATCACTGTTTTAGAAAATGAAGGACAGGATTATTTACTATTACTCTATTTTATTATGAATTTTGCTTCATTTAAAATTCCATATTAATATACTATTATTATGGTAAGTAATGCTGAATACTTGCATGTAATTATTATGCTATAATTAATAGGCATGTATATAAGCAACAAGTTTGACTTGGAAAACAAATAATTAAATAACTTTTGCTTTCATTTGATATATTCCCCACAAAATTAAAACCGGTTGCC